TAGTCAGGGAAATAGTTTGGGGACGATTTCCCTACCATTTTTGATGATTGTTGGCTTCAGCTTTGAGCAGGTTGGGTGTATGCTTCATTTTTCGTCCAAAATCCGCCTGTAGGGGGACACGCCCGACCTAATCTTAGGGGAACGAAGGGTGACGCACTTCCCAAAAAAGGCAGGGGGCGGCGGTGTCTCGCCGTAGGCGTCTTCGATCCGCCGCCCCCCTGCTGGCTTGCAAAAGGGGCGCACGGCGTGCCAGACTTGTGGGAAGTTATTGGTCCTCTCAAAAGTTCCCTCCCCCTCCTCCTCCTCCTCCTCCTCCTCCTCCTCCTCCTCCTCCACCTCCTCCTTCTCCTCTTCCCCAATGGGCCTTTGGCCCAACCCGCCAGCGCTGGAAAGAAGTCGAAAGCACCCGAAAACGATCGGGCTGAGATGGCCTTCGAGACGGCCAAGCTGTCCCCAAGAGGGCCCAAGATGGCCGCAGGGTGTCCTCAAGACGGCCCCAAGGTGAACATAAAGATTCGGAGGCGCGCTGATTTAGCGGATCCGCGCTGGGGCCCCTTGGCGGCGCCTCCGGCGCCGCCCCTGGCGCGCCCCGCGCGCCATGGAGGGGGTCCAGCGCGGATCCCAGAACTCCGCGCGGACCTCCGAGGCTGATGTGCTCACGCCATTTTTCGCCCCCCCAGATCTGTCGGCGACGTGTCGCCGATTGCAGGCCGATGTTCCCCCCCCCACGCGAGGCCCCCCCCCCGCCCGAACGCCGCCCCTCACAGCAGCTGGACCCGGCGGCGGCGCCCTGGCACCAGCACCACCGAGCGTTCGCCGACCCCGTCCCCGTGCATGCGGGTCGCCTGAAGCAGACGAAAGGGGCGGCCTGTGCGGGCTCTCTCGGAGGGCCGCGCGGATGCCTCGGATCCCGCCCCCGGCGCGGGGACTCTGGAATTGCACGCGTGTCGAAGCGTCTGTGGCTGTCACGCAGAGGCGGCGCTGCAACCCGCAGAGTGTTCATCAAAGTCCTCTGCACGGGCACCAAGGGAACAAGTGACCTCCACCTCCATCTTGGCATCGCTCGGACGTGTGCGTTTTTCCTTCGGCGAGGACCATCGAGGAGCATCCTTGATCATTTGGCGAAGAAACCACGCACGAGACCGAAAAAAGCACAGGGAATGGACGTCCGAGCGATGGCCAGTCCATGGAACCCGCCGCGGGGAGCCACGGAGGAGGCCCAGCGCCGATCCGAGGGCTCCGCTCGGGACTCCGAGAGCCCGTGCTCCTGCCGTGCACCTCCTCTTCCCCGAGATCCGGCGCCGCGGAGAGAGCCGCAGCGTCGTGGCACATCACGGCCAGTGCCCCGGAAGCCCCACCTGTCCGCGCCATTTTCCCAGCCGGGTCGGTCTGCATTGCAAGGCGGGCGTGTCCCTCTACAGGGGGGACATCCCACGAAAGAGTCGAACAATAGTCTTGGGACGCTGTTCCTACCATTTTTGGCTATTTTGTGTATTGTTTGTCTGCTTTTCAGTTTTCGTCCAAACTCCCCCTGTAGGAGGTCGTGCCCGGCCTAACGGAAGCCCCACCTTTCGAGTAGGGGATCGACTGCACAATTGATTTATCCTACACTTAATCGTCCCGTCGAATCTACGGAGGCATATTCAGAGTCTTCAGTAGATGCACGAGCATTCTACGTATTCGTCGTAGTTTCGATGGGAATATCAATTTGGGGGTGATTCGATCCTGCAGTCGGCCCTCTGCTCGAACCTCTCCGCGCCGTGTTCCCGGCCGGGTCGGCCTGCGTGCGAGGGGCACCCGGGGGCCCGAAGCAGGCCAGCCACAACTGGGGGAGCGGTGGTCCTTACCCCCCCGGGGGACCCATCGATTTCGACACCCCTCTCGAGAGATCGCCGATGCGATGCGTTCCCCCAGGGGGGTAAGGACCACAGCTCCCCCAGTTATCAAGGGCTCCCTCGAGGGCGCGAAGTTATTCGCGCTTCGCGGTCCTCGTTCCTTCTCCTCCTCCTCCTCGTCCTCCTCTTCTCCCCCTTGGGGGGCGGCGCGAGAGCGCGAAGTTATTCGCGCTTCGCGCTTCGCGCAGCGCGAAGCGCGAACTTAGGAGCCCTTGGTTATGGCTGGTCGGCGAGGCCGGGCGGAGGCACGCGCCGCGAGGAGAGACTGCAGCGCCCGGATCTCGGGGGTCTCTCCCAGGCTGGCCCACGGAGCCCTCGGCGCCCTCGTTGCCGTCGCAGCAGCGGGACGGGCCCCCGCCCCCTCGGCGATCGGCGCGTTCTCCATGCCCGCGGGGAGGTCTCCAACGGAGCATCGCTCGGACGTGTGCGTTTTTTCCTCCGGCGAGGACCGTCGAGGAGCATCCTGGATCATTTGGCGAAGAAACCACGCACGAGACCGAAAAAAGCACAGGGAATGGACGTCCGAGCGATGGCGAGCCAAGCCTGGACGCCGAGGAGTGTCCAGATCGTGGGGTGCCCGCGTTGTTTGTGGTCGCGACGGGTCGCGGCCGATTTTAAGGCCAATCGGTCGCGAGCGATGCCGGAGGTGGAGGCAAAATCGGTAGCGACCGATCTCGTCGGTCGCGATTGGAAAATTCCAGCATAGAAGGATCAGGGGAGGGCATGTGTCAAAAACACTGCTTCCAGGGGCCGATTGTTGTCTTTGTTCCAATTCTGGCCCCCCGTGGGGTTGTGGAGCGGGAAAACAAGAGGAAGGATGATGACATCAGGGGACGGCATGTGTCAACGACATAGCTTCAGGGGCAGATTTGATGTCAGTGTCCCCAATCTGGCCCCCCGGGCGTTTGTGGAGTGGGTGAGGAAGAGGAGTGATGATGAGGAGGAGGGGACCTAGACCAAGACCTGTTCGCGGACCCTCTGCAATCTCTGCAATGCCACGCGTTTCTGCACCACATAGCTGAACTCCAAGTGGGAGCACCTGCCCAAAAACTTGCTTCCGGCTGAACTCCAACGAAATTGCGCAGCGACTGTCGCCCACTGCACAGGACAGCACCAGCCGATCGGGACCCTTGGAGGCACGCAGCCCCGATCAGGGCCCGATACAGAAGCACGAGAGAAGCTCATCCCACCTCCCCACGACAGCTCCCCCGACAACCAGACCTCCCGCCCCGTCCGCTTCCTCGGCCATGATGTGGAGGAGGAGGCGGAGGAGGAAGAGGCGGAGGAGGAGGGGGAGGCGGAGGAGGAAGAGGAGGAGGAGGAGGAGGAGGAGGAGGTGGAACCAGGGCCGTGGATAAGACGTCGATCGCCCGCCTCTGGGCGACGCGGCGCGGCAGCGGCGGGCCTCCAACGACTCGCTGCAGTCGGGCGCCCGCGGCGGCGACAGAGCGGCCGCCCTGGCGCTGCTGCCGGCGCTCGGGCCGGGCAGTGCGCCGGCGGCGGCCTCCACGCAGGCCCCGAGCGCGGGCTTCACGCAGTGGCTCGGCTCGCAGAGGAGGAAAATGTTGGCGTTCAGTCGGGCCTGTCCCTCTAGAGGAGGTATCTTCAAAAATAGTCAAAAAATAGTCTGGGGACTGTTTTCAGATTTGTTTTGACTATTTCCCAACCATCGTGTGGTGTTGGGTCCTCGTTTTGAAGAGACAGCGCCCCGCGTCCCACCTCCTCTCCTCCTCCTCCCCCTCCTCGCCCTCCTCCCTCACCTCTCAGCTCTCGCCCCCCCCCTCCTCGCCCTCCTCACTCCCTCCCTCCTCCCCCCCTTAGCCTCTGTCTCACCGGCAACAGTATAAGCGAAAGGCCCCTCACCAACGTTTCGTAGCCCATAGGGAAGCTCCCACCCGAAGGTCCCAGTGGCACAGCCCGCATGCGGTTTCCTCACCTTCCCAGGGCAGCGTTCGTAGCCCCATAGGGAGCTCCAACCGAAGGTCCTCAAGTGGCACAGCCCGCATGCGGTTCCTCCCCTACCCAGGGCAGCGTTTCGTAGCCCCATAGGGAGCTCCACCGAAGGTCCCAATGGCACAGCCCGCATGTGGTTCCCCCACCCAGGGCAGCGTTTCGTAGCCCCATAGGGAGCTCCACCGAAGGTCCCAGTGGCACAGCCCGCATGCGGTTCCCCCACCCAGGGCAGCGTTTCGTGGCCCCATAGGGAGCTCCACCGAAGGTCACAGTGGCACAGCCCGCATGCGGTTCCCCCACCCAGGGCAGCGTTTCGTAGCCCCATAGGGAGCTCCACCGAAGGTCCCAGTGGCACAGCCCG